CTTATATGGATATAGCTGATGATTTTCATGTGAATGTTGTCTTTCTTTATGGTTTTAATGACTTGACTTACCAACCAAAAAGATGACTGGTTGAATATTTGGAACTACTTCAACTGTGAAGGAATTATATGAAATATGAAAAAAATCATAATAAGTTGATAAATGATGTAAAAAGTTGGGATACATTCTAGATACAGTGTGGATATACTGCGGATAGATCAGAGATAGGTGAAGGCACCTCCATAAAGGTTCCTAATTTTTTTTCCTGGTGAGGGGTGAGAGAATTTGTGGTAGATGACTTTAAACAAACTCTGTGTGGCCTAGTTTCCTGGATTGCATTCTTGGGGTTGTTGGGATCCACTGGGTCAAGTTCTGGGCAAGAACAGCAGCATCAGATGTTGCTTCAAAATATGTAATCACATGTGACTGTGGCTTTCAGGGGGAGATATAGAGCCTGGGGTTTCTGATTATCTTGAGGAATTGGATTCTGTTGTTAAAGAAGGAGTCCCAAGACTGGTTCATGGCTGAGCTAGAAGTCAAGCAGAGTTCTTATATGGCCATCCTAATAAATGATGAAGATGGGCAGTATAAACATGGGTTTGTTTCATCCTCAGAGCAAAGATGTGTAGCTGTATGCTACTTGATGATCACATGTCTATTACCACCCTGGTAGTACAGTAACAGGATGGATGAATTTGGGTTGTTCCCTGCTAGCCCCAGTTTTTTCAAAAAAAATACACTTTTATAGGTGTTGGGGATAAGTTTATTATGCATCAATTTAGATTGGCAAAATTGTCACCACTTGATTTTTTGAAAAGAAAGTCCAGTTTAATTAGATGATGTTATATTGTTGTGCACTTATAAATACCAGCATTTATAAGTGCACAACAATTAAATCAATGAATTAAACAAAGTAGAACTTCTACTTTGTTTACTTCATTGATTGAGTTATTTATTCAAGACTCTATGTAGAAAGCACATCTCTGCCTGCTTGATGAAGATTGTTTTTGTTAGTGAAATTGAAGACACATTAGGTGTATGGGAATGATTGATTTTAGCCTTCAAGCCTGGACTTGAGAAGGAAGATCTCCATAGCTGAGTCTCTGGTGATCTGAGTGAAATATGTATCTGGAGTTTGTCTATGGCCATTGAGATATGAATTCAAACTCCCTCTATCTCATCTCTAAATCTAAAATCTAAATGAAATCCATTCTACTTAGATCTGGGCCTCCGTTGGTTCTTGAAGATGTATGATCAAATTGTTGTAAGATTTCATTGTAAATAAATATGTGCGCAGCTTTGTTTGTTTGATGATAATCATTTTAATTGGATATGTGTGATTTATGCATACAAAACATTTTTTTTTCAGGGCTATCGAGACATCAGGACTTGCCAGATATTTGTACAGCAGTTCCCAGAAAGCTTGCGCTCGCGAGCTCCACCTGTGGCCACTATAATGTAATATACTATAGCAATTCAAACAGGGGCCCGATATGGTAGGCTTGAGGGCCCAAATGGGCGTGCACATTTGCATTCTCCAAGATCGCCAAAAATCCTGGAGAATCTGGGAAATCACCCCCAAAAAAATTCTCTAAGTCCCCCCTTCCCCGGCAAGCTTAGGTCAGCCCACGGTGCCAGCTCACCAGTCATATCATCCCCGAGCACCCGCCCGCCAACATCACATCACTCCGACCATCACACCTCCTCCGGAGTGATGTCAAGTGACCCGACCACTACACATCAACCGGATCACCCGGATTTACAACATTGCAATACTACATACACATCGACACCCCATAATACCTCATAATACGGTGTAATACTCAATGCGCCACCCACCCATCTAATTCACTCACAAAAACACAAGCCGACTGTCCTTCCCACTTCTGTCACTCCGCTTCACGCTAGTTTTGTTTTTTGATAATTTTTTTCATTTAAGCTCTCTTGTTATATGAGTTGTTCATTAGATTGCCCAAATCAATCATGTATTTGCATATGTTTTTTTTTCGCTCGGATGGTTGTTTAGTTTTACTCTACACTGGTGCGCATGAGACTCGCAGAAATAAAGAGATTTGATGTTCTAAAATTACAGCCGTGATTGAAAAAAGCACCAAGAAAAAAATCAAGAATAAAAAACCAAAGAAGGATGAAAAATAAGAGCACTGGTAATTCAACTCTCATCATCATCACTATTGTTTCCTGCTGCAGTTTCGACAACGATCGGGTTGTTGGAGGCATCATCATCATTTGCTTGTTCCGTTTCGGACATCATATTTTCATCTGCATCCTCACCGTCATCGGCTCCCATTCCTAGAACGGCCTCCTCCAACGGTACATCTACTTCGGGTTGGCTTGCTAAGACACCACCCTTCTCGGATTCGATCTTCTTCCGTATATTATCCCAATCGTTCAACAAGACCTTGCAGTGCTCGCTGGGCTGACAGTGATTTGCAAGCCACAGAACATGTGGATGCCACTCTTCCACCAATGTTGCATGAAGTGTCAGTCGACAACGTAGTTCCTTGCGAATTAATCTGAGCTTGTTTCTACGATTCAATCCGTAAAGGACCAAATTATCAAAGCGATCCAACTCCACATCGTCGGGTCGATCTTCTAGTAGTTTAATACCTGCAAACAACATCATGAGACTCAAGTTGAACGTTAAATAAAGAATGAAATTGTTACTCACGCTCTCCCAATGCTGTTATTGTGTTTTCAACGTGAATATAATAGCAGATTGCCCAACCGACCGCTCGGGCCAACTCTTGAGCAATTAGTTGAAATTCTTCTTGCACCCTGTTAAGGATAAGGACATAGTTGATACCCGCTCGCACATCAGGCTCAATTGCCCAGGGAGCCTTTGACTGGAAATACAGTCCATCATTCCAGAATTGATGATCCAGTGGCCAATCGGAGAAGTCGTCATATGTGACAGGATAGTGAGAAGTGTCGGTCGCTTGTTGATCCGGAAATTTTTCCAAGTACTCGGCAAACAGTTTGTTGTACTTGTCGAGTAGCTTGTTAACTGCTGGGCGGCGATTCGCCATTGCTTTCAGAATCTTTTCTTTGAGCTCAGTACCGAGTGGCGTCCCCAGTTTGTTTGCATCCAAGAGGGGCTGCCGCTCTGCCCGGAGTTGTACTGCTTGTATGTACAGTTCGTTTTTCGAGTTCCATAAAAGTAGGAGAAGCCTCTGCTCATCACCTGTGATAGATCCAATAATACAATCAATGTTTTGAGGCTGTTTTCGACCAACAACAAAGATGACTTACTATTTTCATCACCAGAAGGTAAGCCGATTCCCAATGCCTCGGCTTCAGCAGCATCTTTACTCAGCTTCTTTGATACCCTTTCGATCTTATCTGTGATCTTCTTGACTTCCTGCGCAGATAGAAGATCAAGGTCTGGATCCAACAAGCGTTCCCTACATACATTCGTTTTAGTCAGAATCCTTACGGCTGGCAAAATATATGCTGTAGATGTAGAAATTCACTTGCCTTAGGATTTCAATGTTTAATTGATGTTCGTAGATCTTGATTAGTTTATCCCTGCGCTCCTGCTCTTCGTCCGTATGATCGGCTCGGAAAGTTCGCTGATGGTTCCATTGCTTCTGGAAGTATGATATTGTGTATTTACAGCCAGGTCTCTTGAAAGGATTTTGAGCTGACAAGAGTTTTGCGAGTTCGTTTCGGGTTTCAATTCGACGTTTCGATGCTAATTTGAACTTTCTTGACAGCCAGTGGGCTGGAGCAAAACCTCAATATGGGGGAAGAAAGCCATTGTAGCAATAGCAAGAACAACCTGAACACTTACGTAGCTGTCGGATCCCTCTGGTGTTGTGATACTTCAAACGATGTGCAATGGCCGACAGTCGATGATTACGAGTCGCATACCTCAGAGGACTTACTAGTGGTGATAGATACGACCACATTCGCTCTAACCCTTCGCCATCGGATAAACCCCACCCCGTATTAAGTCGAGGATTGTAATCCAATTGGCAGGCCCAATTGTGGACATAAGAGTGGAAGATCGATGTTCCAAAAGTTGTTTCCTTCGTCAAATCTGGTAGAAGTCCGCGCTGGTCATGAGATGGAATAAGCAGGAGTAAGTAGTGCATACCATCCTGAAGGATATCCAATGAATCTTACCAAGTTGATATATTTGTCAAGGGAACACCCAATATCATATAAAATACCAACCGGCCGATCAGGATCCAATCTGAGCAGTCTCTTCATTAAAGCCAATGGAAGGGCCCTCAGTTCACCCGACTTATAAATGTTAGCCAAAAAGACGGCTGAATCGTGTCGACAGCATAGACCCATGAGCCCAGTATCATCGCACCCCTTCCATGTCGACTCATTCCTTTTATCGTCGGCCGCCTTGTGCGCGTCAGCACATCGATCTGCCTATCCACGGGTGGAAGTTAAAGAAATGAGCCGGTGAGTTAGAGAGAGATAAGCAACATTGCAATACATCACTATGTAGCACACACACCTGTTTGGGAGTTTTATTCATAACCTCCATGTGCCGGATTTCTTGGGTCATCATCTCGACCGCGCCTTCGGGGAGGAAAATGCTGGGGGTTTGAAGAGTCTCGTAATCACGACTGGCTTTCGAGTGGTGTCTATGTTGAAAATTTCCATCGAGACATACTATGAGGCGGTTTCGAACTGAGTCGGGGTAATCCATGCTGTTGGCTGGCTCAGGACCAAAGCAAGCCGGACAAGAACGGCCAGCAAGCTTGTCCTGCTCGGTCAGGCCAAGCGTTGAATCCATCAAGTCATCGGACCTTTCTTGAAGCAATCGGAACAGATCGACGGCAGCTGAGAAAGGCTTTCGCATATCTCGAGCCTGAATGAATAAAGCGAAGGGTAATTGGTTGGCTTGACAGGATTATGGGCAATTTTGTTGATTCACTATCTATCACTCACATGATTCTTGCCCTTGGCACATAATCGCTCTGAGCGGGGCTCCAGAAATTCGGTGAGTGCAACTGTGAAAGGCAACATACCAATGTGGCAGTTGTTCCACAGCGAGTTGTGAAATATGAGAAGTGGCAGCGAGAACGCTGTTTGCGGTTTGATAGGTGATCCGGCTAGATATCCCTGTCGCAATAAACGGACCGCGTCGTGTGTACATTTGCAGAATAGAATCAACCTGCGTCTTTGAGCTAATCCATAGAAAAGATGATTGGTCATTTGAATGTCAACTGACTAATAAGATGAGTCAAGTCACATACCATATATATCAACCATATCGACAGGGCGACTCCTCTGGTCCCGAGAGCTGCATCTACAGCTATCTGATTTGTGTTCTTCATACGAGTTCGGGCCAGACCAATTCTTTGTGTGCAACTTCAAGGTGACGTACCAAGTGTGAAGTTCTTTCAGCAACCGATTCCAATTGTACTCCTTAGCTAATCGTCGATATTCTTCTTGGGCAGATGGGATCGTGGGATCAATGCCTTCTTCTTGGTCCTCAAATTCGTCCAAAGTCACCCATCGTGTATGATCTTCCTGATCTTCATCTGAAGAGTCGGGTCCTTCGTCCTCCCACTCAGATTCTTGGTTTGGATCGTAAGGGTTGTCCATCATTTCCGTATCTTCCATTTGCTCGATTTCCTGATTTCCCGTTCGGTCACCTCTACGCAATCGAGCCCAAGCGATGGAATTGAGGGTGGCATTCTGTGAGCGTCTTAATCTTTCAGAGCGAGTTCCGGGGGGGTCTTTGGTGGTTTTTCGTCTGGTCATTGTGAATGTTGAAGCGTACTGATGAGACTATACAATGAAGTGCGATGAAGTGGAGAAAATAACAATGTTGAGAAGTCGAGAAAGTGATGAAGTTGAGTGTGATGTGATGAAAAGTAGGAAGCGGAGGCGGAGTAAAGCTTGGAAAACCAATTAATATCACATCATATCCATAAGGGCCCCCCTCAATCCAGCCTTTAATCATAATAAAAATTAAGAAATCATAATAAAAATAAATAACATCAGTTAAAATAAAACAAGAAAATCAAATAAAATCAAACATAAAACATTTCACGCATGAAATAAAATCAGGCATGAAATAAAATCAAGCATAACATACAACAAATCAAAAATCTCATGAGTCTTATATATCTTTGTGGGGGTGCTATTAGATGGAAATCAATTGAGTTAAAAATCCAAACTAACATATTAAAATTGAATCAAAGTGGTAACTTTGTTGTCAAGTGTTAAAATCTTGGGTAATATAGATTGGGGAATGTAGAAAGTGTTAAAATCTTGGGTAATATAGATTGGGTAATATAGAATGTTGCTAGAATTTTGCTTGAATTAGGAAATAATTGAAATTTGTAACCTTGCCACCTTGGCCTTGGTGTGCATCAATAAAGTTAGCATATCATTAAAAGTAACAATTTGGTGATTTCTAGAGCTTCCATTAGAAAATGGCGCAAATTGGTTAATATATAGGAATAGGGATTCATCACAGACTGATTGAAATTTTTAATCTCAATCAATAGTGAAATGGTACCAGGTGGAAATCATTATGTATTTAACTTTTGTCAAACCAGATAAAAGTTAAGATTTTATATTTTATGAATTTATTGATTTATTGCAATCATCATCATTGGTGTATTGGTGCAGTGCTGATAGAAATTTTTAATCTCAATCAATAGTGAAATGGTACCAGGTGAAAATCATTATCTATTTAACTTTTGTCAAACCAGGTAAAAGTCAAGATTTTATATTTTATCAATTTATTGATTCATTGCAATCATCATCGTTGGTGTATTGGTGCAGTGCAATGTGACATGTAATGTAGGTGTTCCTACCCTGATAGCAAGAAATGGAGCAAGGTCTGACCTACATCACAATGTCATGAAGGAAATGCTTCAATTACAAATGGTTTATGATTAATTCAAGATAAAGCACTCATGACATCATATGAATTATCTAATTTGAGGAAACATCAAAAACATTCCACCTTGTACCATTTGGTACACCCTTTTGCACCTTTGATCTCATTTTTTGGTTACACTATTTCTATTACTATTTCTATTTGATTTGAACATCCAACAAAAGATTTATCACCGGTGATATTTCTTCCTAGCTCCATTTTTAATCACCATTCATTATATTAACATGAAGCACATAATTCATGAAAACACTAATATATCAACCAAATTACACCAAGAACATGCATTGAAATTCTTTCAGAATCAGGGTGTTCAATTGATTTTCAAAGCACATTCTACATAAAAACATGAATCCTACAGGGTCAGAAAATCAATCTTATCAAACTAAATCAATCTTATCAAACTAAATCAATCTTATCAAACTAAATCAATCTTATCAAACTTGAGGTTTCTCTATCAAACTGGAGGTTTCTCTATCAAACTGGAGGATTCTCTCTATTATTTGGGACCCTCCACACACCATTAATTCCATCATTTGGTGTTCAAAAATGTGACATAGCACTTTTATTGAATAATACAAAGATCAGTTATCTACTTACAAAATTGT